GAAAGGGTTATTATATAAATAAATTAGATTAATTAAAAAAACATCTTAAAAATAAGGATTTTTGCAATAATCATTTTTTTTTTCTTTCAAAACCTTTTTCCTTTAAAATCTATCTCAAAAGATGACTTCAAAGTTGTAAGATGCACATCGTCAAGATTTGGACGTAGAGATCAAAGAGTAATCTAATCGTACGGTTGGAAAGAGCTGTAGTTTCCCAAAGAAAGAATTACAAGAAAATACACGTAACTTTACACCATAACAAAAAATGGCCCATGTTTTTAAGTTTTATCCGACCTAGCTCGTGTTGTACATATTTTGAAAGCACCGGTAAATGCAAAATCTGTGTTCTTACAACCATTGCTTTTAAAAGTTATGGAGTAAATATGTGATCTCACAACCATTGCTTTCACTCTCTCTTCTTCTCACATCTTCTACATATGCTTCAAGGGCCCGTGTATTTTCTGCTCTCCCCATGTGTCACCTGGTTGCAATGTAAGAAAATTGAAGAGTAGAAGTCCACCATTGAATGTCTTTGAAAGTTTTGTTTTCGAAAATAATTTTTTGAATTTGTTAGTTGTTTGGATTGAGTGTTGTTCCAATTGATTGAAAATATCAGAAGGAGTTCAAAATTTAAATTTGAAGTGATTTGGAGTAGTTTGAGCAAGATTTAAGTTAAATTCCAGAAAAGACGCAAGGAACAAGACGAAGTCAGTTTTCTGTATAATTATGTATAATTTTGTATAATAGTGTATGTGAGTGTATAAACACATCTTATACACTGTTATACACTTTTATAACCTTTATACAAGCATCCGTAGACGAACTTATACCACGATTTTCAGTTGCAATTCTTGTTCAAAACCAGTCCAAATCTCCATTAAATGATATCAAATTTTATATACAACTTCCTTATACTATTTCTAACAAGTCTAAATAACACTCGCTCCAAATTTCTCACAAAATCAAATTCGAAATTTAAACCCACATATTTAAGCTTGTTTTAAAAAATTAATTTTCACCGCCCAAATGGATTTGGTTTGTTGAACTAATATTTGAGTCACAGTTACTGATTCAAAAATTAACTTCAAAACTTGAGCAATCTTTTTTAAAAATTAAATAGTAAATAGAGAACTTATTGGAGTTGGATGTTGAATCTTAGCCTATTATTTTTGGGTTAGTTGGTGGTAAATTGAAATGTAAGCTATAAAATTGAAAAGTAGAGAGGCCAATTGTTCTTATGTGAAATTTTCCCTTTCCCAAATATCCAACCACTAACCAAATGTAAAACTGTTATGAAACAATAAAAGAAGAAGAATAGTATTGCAGAGAAAAGTAGAGAGAGAGAATTTTTATTGATTTGGGATGAATTACAATAGAATAGAACCCTCTATTTATAAGGAGAGGGTGACTTAGCCACCAAGCAATAAACCTTAGAATCTCTCTAAATATAGACATTCACCATAAATAAAATTCTATTTATAACACTCCCCCTTGAATGTCTATTCAACAGATAATGTGCCTCGTTAAAACCTTAACTAAAATAAAACCCAGTGGGAAAAAAATTTTAGAAAAGAAAAAAGAGTACACATATCTAATAATACGCCTTTTGGTTGCCTCGTTAAAAACCTTGCAAGGAAAACCCAGTGGGACAAAACCTTGTAAGGGAAAAAGAGTACAACGCGTATTAACTCCCCCTCACGAGAGCATCAATTCACATCCTTAAGCATTTGCATTCCAATCTTGTGCACCATCTTCAAAAGATCTTTGGTAGATATTTGATAAACAAATCAGCCATATTAACTTGAATGAATATATTGCACCTTGAAATCATCATTCTTGATAGAGATGGATTGTCTTCATATGATCTTGTTGAAATCGTCAGTTCAATATCTTCACATAGAGGTGAAAACTCTTGCTATCATATTATCTTGCTTATAGTTATAGCAAGATACATATGCACAAATTACATTTAGGATATAGTACTTCATGACCATGAATTCTATATGCTTTAAGCAATTTAAATCCTTCAAGGATTTTTAAGTCATATAAGCCATATAATAGACTTTAGATGCATATCAAGTTTTCATGTCATGTTAGACATATAAGATATCGAAAACTGATTGCACATACCATTGACTTATACTTTCAAGTGTTTGAACTGCATGTTCAAAACTACATGGCTTTCTTATGAAACCAATTCATTTGGATTGTTTCTTCAGACTTAAGATCCTCATATATATATTTAGCGCTATCATAGATGTCGTCGACAAATATTTTATATCGGTTCCAACCTCCTTATTTTTCATAAAGACATAACATAAAGATCTCTTCATTCATATATTCAGGTACCTGAATCTCTCTTGAGATTTTATGAAGTGTTATGTCATGTGATCTTCTAAATCACTTGCCTCATTTATTACGATCATTTGCTCATCTTCTTTATCAAGAAGTTTATTCGAAACCGATTTGTCTATACGCTTCAAGCGTACCATAGACTTTGTCCTTCTAGGACTTAATAGGAGCATTTGCAATGAGAATATAGTTACTTTCTTTGGGTCAGCAAATGCGTCTGGCATGCTTTGCAATATATTGCAACTGAATTATCCTTTTATGAACTTCAAGTTCATATTATCTTATTCGAGGATCTAGATGTATAAATGATAATTCATTCCACGTAACCTTTTCTCAACTGTTTATCATGTCTCCCCCTCATGTTAGAAAAACTAACTTGTTTTCTCAACTTTGAGAACCCATCTTTGTGCGTTATGGTGTTAATCAAAATATACACCGCACATCAATAATAATAAGATGGAATTATTTGGTTCCTAACCATGAACCACCTGTGAGGGGAGAAATTAATATACTTTCGTATATAACGTATATCAAACTGGTATATAAAACTTTGTTCTCATAAGCAATTATTTAGCTATTAAGTGGAGGCACTCAATAAATCATTTTGCTAAACCAGCTGTGATGTAGACCAACTTATCAAGATGAACTTCTTTAATAGAAAATCTGGAATATGCTCTAAATTAAATTATTGAGCAAGTTACCTCGCAAACACCATGTTGCGGGTTAATAATAATCGCACATGTAACCATCTTATAGATGCATCTTATGTGGTATACATGGCAGGCGAATGGGCCCATATTCACCTTTGATATTTCCAGCATTCATGGGTTTCAATCCCAATTTTAGTTGATCTATTAATTAATGAGAACAAGCAATATAAGAGAATTCGTAAAGAACTTTCTAGTTCTTTAATATTTACCCATGTGAATTCTCTATTATTTTTGCACATCATACATGAATTAACATGGCTAAACCAAGTATGCCAACTGGATAAATTATCAATATTGATAAACTTCAGGTTTACACCATGATGTGTGCAATTATGAATAAACTACAAGTTTATTATGATAAGGGTTTTTATATCAACAAATATCCACTTCATTGTGGTATTCTTTTGTTTATGTAGTACAAATTGGAGAATAAAGTGGGTAACTTTTCACATACATATTACCCCGCTACAAGACGTAGTAATAGAAGATATTAAATCTTTCCTTTATTTATAGTCTCAATATAATCAACCGCTTTCGCTTATACTTTGGAAACTGAATAAGTTTCTCTGAGACTTACTACAACACAATACCTTATTGGTAATTAATTGTGTTTCTCCAAAATAGTATAATTGGCTCTTGCAGAGTTCTCAATTAATTTTGTAGTACCACATATTCATCAACACCCATATGGTGAATATCTCTTTTAAAGAGAAAGTTATACCATTATGGTTATGGTCAAAATTATATGCAAGATCTGTTTCTTGCATTACCGTTGACTTTTAATAATCACAATGCCAAAATATTTTGGCGTACAATAGGTACGTGACCAATGACCATTCATGCCGTAATAATGATATTATTTTCTTATATCATCTCAAACCTCCTTCTAGAGGTGAGTGTGATATATTCATTACCACTAGCATGTTCATATTATTCCAAAAATGAATATGTATTCTTAAATCAGATGTTGTCACATTCACATCATGAATAGACCATAATCATCTATATGTGCTTTATAAAATCTCATGTCAAATCGATGACAAATATTTTCACAAGTGGGGGATTATTTTGAGAATCCTTATTATTCTCATTATCACAATGATGACGATTATAATTTCGTCTATTGCCACGTCCACATCCATTGATACATTCATAGTGATAATTTTGTCTTCTTTCAGACTTATCACATATTGCTATCACATTCTCTTAAGGGAATGAGAATGGAGCAAATTCAATGGGACGGGTTTTCAATTTTTGTGCCCATAATCATACATGAATTTGATCATGGCAAGACATAGAAACTTTTACCACTTCAGGTGGTTATAATTTCTTACAAACTCCATTAGAGTTATAATCAAACTTTGTTGTCTTTGCTTGTATAAAAAATCAAAGTATAGAATAAAAGAGAAAAATACGGTAAAATACTTACCTTAAATCCAGAATTTAATCATGAAGGAAGTTCATGGAATAATTGACAATCATTATGCTCAATCCCAAAGCTTCTACTCAATTGGTTAGAGTCTCGTGCTGATAACGTGTTATGAAACAATAAAAGAAGAAGAATAGTATTGCAGAGAAAAGTAGAGAGAGAGAATTCTTATTGATTTGGGATGAATTACAATAGAATAGAACCCTCTATTTATAGGGAGAGGGTGACTTAGCCACCAAGCAATGAACCCTAGAATCTCTCTAAATATAGACATTCACCATAAATAAAATTCTATTTATGACACTAATTTTTATCGGTCTCTTCATTTTTTGGCCATTGTGAGGCCCACCAATCTTAATTTCACCTTCCTCACATTTTCGTTTTTTGTTAGTATTAATTTCTCTTACCTTAGAAGTCTCTCCCCCACCGTACGAGCTGACGTTAGTCAAAAAGAAACTGAAGAGCAGGATACGGGCACGTACACGTGAGAGCATAGAATCCCAACCCGGATTCGTTTCCACAGATTAAACCGGATTTGATAAACCAAATGATACGTCCGGAACTTTGGTAGTAGTAATTCGAGGATAGCTTCATTCATGCCGGTTCTCGGTCAAGCAAAAGCGCCACCATACCAATTCCGAAGAAGAGAGAGAAAATCTGCCGCCGCCGTCGAGTTTCTCTCTCTAAACCCGCAGATATTCATCTAATCCTTGTAAGATTTTTTGTTAATTTCTCTTTTGTGAATTGACTTTTTTATTTATTAATAGTATTTGGTGTATAATTTTGATCAAAGATATTTCAGGTTTGCTGATTTTTTCCTCACTTGCAATATGATTCAGATCAATTATTAATTGGATATTTCAACTGCTGCGGAGTAACTTCTTGCAGTTGTGTGTATCTACGGAAGGGTATAAAGATGGATTTGGTTGCTAGTTGCAAGGTAATTAGGTTTTAATTTCTTATCATTTTGCATTTATTTGGTTGAACTGTTAATTTTTTCATTTTCTGGTGCTAATTGTGAATGTTGCTTAGAGTAGTTTAATTTTCATATGTTATGGTGGATTGACTCTTTCTTGAAGTAATGAAATGCTTAGATAATTTTACTATTATAGTATAACTAGTTCTCGATGATAAAGGTTTAGGATTAGTGATCGGTAAGTGTGTAAATATCGAAAGAACAAACTAAAATAGAGCACCCACGGGTGTGACTTAGTGGCCAACGAAGTGGGTTGAGAATAATTCTTAGGTTAGAATTCCAGCGGAAGCAAAAATACCAGTAGGTGATTTCTTCCCCATGGTGTCAAGTCTTGGTGGACATAGTTACTTAGCACCTATGTTGGTGAGAGGTAGCAGGGAATTAAAAGGCAGCCCGGTGCACGGGGTCCGGGGAAGGGCCGGACTACTCCATGGAATTAGTACCATGTTAAAAAAAGGGAACAAACTAAAAGTAGAAAGGGGCCTAAGCTTTGATGAGTAGTATTACCCGGTAACTGTATTGGTAGGAGGTAGCAGGTACTCTGCGGAATAATTGAGGTATGCGCAAGATTATCGGACACCACCGTTTCAAAAAAAGAAAGTAGAAAAGGAAGATGCCCGAGAATGTGAGCATAGTGATAATCCCGTTAGTGGTCTGCCCTGGTGGTGGATTAAGAAATGTACCAAATGATTCTGGTGTTTAGACACTCCAAACATGCCTGCATTTGTGGAAACTATATGGGTTATGCGCTGATGTATGTTATGTCGAATTGCATGTTGCTTAATATTCTGATTTTAAAGTTAAAAATTAAGCAGTTAGCGGTTGGCCTAGTGATTCCTGTTTTATAGGTTCTAGAATCTAGACGTGCTTTATGTAAATATATTTTCATATCAATTTACTGACTACTATCTGCTGCTGGAATTTATGAATTAGTTGGTTTCGGTGACAATTGTTCGTCACTTGTAGGATAAATTGGCATATTTTCGGATAAAGGAGCTCAAAGATGTGCTGACTCAACTTGGTCTTTCAAAGCAAGGGAAGAAGCAGGTTTGTGGATTTTCTATGCATTTTGAGGTTTTATGGTTGAAACACGGCTTCTTTGTTTTCTGTTCAGGTAGGTGACTGATGTGTTCGCCTATCATACAAATCATACCTTGCTACATTATCATTTGTGAGAGGGAGACCTGTGATAATGAGCATGCCATTGCAATTTTTATGACCTGTTATCCTCATTATCTGTATTTTGATTAATTTAGGACTCTCTCATGCTGAATTTTGTTAGCCCTCTCGTCTATCGTTTCCAAATGGTAAATGATGTTACCTGTGCAGCTGTCTCTTCGTGTTTTGAAATAGAAGCCTTAGTTTAGGTATCTGCAGATAGTGTTACAGAATGGGAAGGCTTGTTGGGATTTTTCTCAGCTTAGCATAGAATATATTACGTTATCCCAAAACATGGGAATGGGAGGGCTTCTTTTCCCTTTTTGGTTGGCGCATTAGATCTTAGTCTGTCTTCGTTCATGAACAGTTATTCTTTATCTTTCGTCTAGGATCAAAATTGTCTATCTTCATGATTAACAGATTAAGCATAGAATAGTTGCATTCTTGCACAACATTTGTTACAGCTACATGTTAGTTTGATGTTTAACGCTAGTGTTTGGTAATGCAGGACCTTGTTGATCGCATATTAGCTACACTTTCTGATGAAAGAGGTGAGCAGCCACATTTCTTGCTTGACGAAGCTGCTGGGAAATCTTAGACTTATCTTGTTTGTTGTGGGTTTTCTTTGTGTGTTTCGCCGTTCTATGTTTATCATTCACTTGCTTCCTTTTAGTACACGCCAATCTTGTTCTGGAGTTGCTGATGATGCAGACGCATTTCTGTTGGGGATTTAGAATCTTCGTTCTTTCCTTTTATTTTTCCAACTGGAGGTACCAGGTTTCCTAATTATTCAATCGAATATATCAGCAGCCCGCCTCCCTCGTTCTAGTGCAGTTCTTGTGGGACACATGTATGCTTTTATTCTCTGTCTAGGATGTTGTAAGGGTTGTAATGCTTGAAATTATCTTTCATAATTAAATCTTACCCATTGTCTTGGTGATCATTGTTTGATAATAGTGAAATTGCTTAAAACTCAACTTTTAAAATACTTGTTAATTGAGGGGTTATTCTATGTGTGTTTTTCATGTTTAGTGTGCTTGTATATACATTATTTCTGAATCTCGCTTTTAGCAGGTGGATTTGTTTGCGATCATGGTTTTTTGATAACTGATTCTCACATACCTTTCTGATGCCGAACAGTTTCAGGAATGTGGCCAAAGAAAAACAGTGTTGGGAAGGAAGATGTTGCAAAGCTTGTTGATGACATTTACAGGTATAAAGCAGTTACAATCTCAGGATACACCTATCTGAAAGGGGAGAGATGGACTTTGATGTTTAAGTCTCCCTATTCCATTGTTTCATTCAGTTGGACATGTCTGACAACATTATTTTCTCATGAACTTTAAATGAATTGCATAAGTGAGACTTTTGCCTCATAATTGGTACTCACAAAGAAATTCTTCTGTTTTATGCATAGTTAATCTTTCTTTGTCACCCAGAAAAATGCAGGTGGGTGGGGCCACTGAGCTAGCATCGAAGTCACAAGTCGTCTCGGATAGTAGTAATGTGAAGTTAAAAGAGGAAATTGAAGACTCTTCTTACCATATGAAAATTCGCTGTGTGTGCGCAAGCTCGTTACAAACTGAAACAATGATTCAGGTTTTACTTTTGTACTAATTCTCTTGTCTCCCTTACTCATACTTATTCATACTTATATTTTCGATATACTATTGATTGGGTAAAGCTTCTCTTGTGCTGAGATTCTCTTTCAAAAGATATACCGAATATGCTTATGTATTATGAATCTCATTATTTGCTTATAACATTTCCTAGTTAGGCTTTTACAGAATTGGATCTTTTGCATGTTGGACTATCGTGCTCATCTGTAAATTGCATTTTTATTGCTACTATGATGAAAATCATCTTGTTCGTTCGTACATTGCTGTGATTTCAGCGTAATGTATGCCCTTTTTAATTTTTAAATCTGTCACGATGAGGGGTTATGTATTTCTTGTGTGTGATGAGGTGCATTATACATGGTGTCAGCCTGAGCTTATTATATTCCCAACCAGCCTAAGCATTTGAAGCTTCCATTTCTTGTACTCGATGTATCACATTTGTGTCTCATGATGTAATCTTGCTTGCAGTGTGAAGACAGAAGATGTCACACTTGGCAACATGTGCGTTGTGTTATCATACCAGATAAGCCGATGGAGGGTGGTGATCCACCAATTCCACCTACAACTTTTTACTGTGAATTGTGCAGATTGGGTCGCGCTGACCCGTAAGTGTCACTTTTAGTGTTTACTTCACTTTTATCTGGTTCCATTAACCGAAGGAATTGTGTGATGTGGCCGTGTTTCCTTTGTCTTTTAATGGGTGCTGCATTTAGTCACATATCTTCATTTTGAGGATTTTTCTTTACAAATAATCGTGTTCTAGAAATCTCTAGATGTCAAACATGCAGGTGTTTGGTTCTACTTTCTATTTAAATATTCTAGTTCTCTTCCACTCAAAAAAGTTATCTTTTGACATTATTTATTTATAAATCTTTGACATCTTAAGTAGGTCAATTTGACACTAAGGCTATATTTTGGCTTTTCCCTCCACTGGATGAGCCAATGTGTTGGACCGATTGACAAGAGAACTAGGCTGCCTCCCCCTTATTTTAGGTAGAAACCAAGGGTACTAATGGGGCATAGGGGTGGTCTCGTTTTATCTGTAAGTACAGTGATGTAATCTAGGAGTTGTGAGAGTTGTTAGTGGCAACTGGTTTGAGAACCTTAAATGATCTAACCTGTATGTTATTTTCTGCAGTTGGTCTGAAATTCACTGGGGGTAAACATTTCCCTTATATTGTACTTTTCGCATCCATAACATGTGAAGTCTGAGTAGCATTTTTTCCAGTGTAGCTTGTTATCCATAAGCCTGGTAAACAAGTGGGTGCTAACCTTGAATTTTGAGTGCATGGGAATAAGATCTGACACTTTATTTACCATGGATATGGATACACAAATGACCATGTGATGCGGCTTTACTTTGTTATATAAATACTTTATATGGTATTGCTTGTTTTACCTTCCATAACTGAATTCTCTATATGCAGCTTCTGGGTGACAATGGGACACCCTTTATACCCTTCAAAATTGTCTATTACAAGCGTTCCTGCCGATGGGTGAGTTACCTGCAACTTTGTTTCAGCTATCTGTTCCCTATTATTGCTGCTACAGTTCTTATTACTTGGGCTTATTTTGTTTGAGGTGTTGACAGGCAGTTTCTATTGCCTGTTTTGGTGACTATTAATAAAGAGAATTTTTTGTTTGTTTTCCCCTGAAATGATGTCAAAGGATGGCCTTTGATTGCCGCAAATTGATTGGTGCACTTGCATATTCTTCTTGCTATTCCATGTGATGTTTTTTTTCTATTGTCTGCTTTTGATATTAGGGCAAGTCGTTTGTGGTTAGTGAATTTTGAAAACTTGTCAAAAGACTTACGCTAGTTTAATCTTGTATCTTGTGCATGCACGGTTTTTATTTAGTGTATAAGTGGATGTCTTGGGTTTGTGTTTGCATCTGTATCTGTTGCAAGTGGTCTCTTCAATGTAGGAGGATTCTCTATTAAATGGTGATTTTCATTTTCTTTTTCCTTTAGATATCTGTATAAATTGTTTAGAGGATTTATGCTTCTGCCTATCTTGCTGAATTATTTGTTCTATCATCCACATGGCATGTTCTGTTTTCCTATTGTTTTGGATTTGTAGCTATGCAAGTATGTTATCCCTTTCCTAGTCACTCATCTCATCTGTGTATTTTCAGCACGAACCCTGTGCAGAGTATTGAGAAAACATTTCAGATAACCAGAGCAGACAGAGACTTGTTGGCAAAACAGGAATATGATCTCCAGGTAGTTGGTTCTCTTAGTGATGGTTTCAGATTAGAAAAAGTCCTTTTGTATTCATTGTGTTTGTTCTACAAACTTGTCAGGCTTGGTGCATGCTTCTCAATGACAAGGTACAATTTAGGATGCAGTGGCCTCAATATGCAGATTTGCAGGTGAATGGTATGCTCTGTCCTATGTTGCTTCTTTTTAATCCTGCTGCAATTGGAAGTAAATGCTGAAATTATATCTTTCCTCAATAGTTTTCTTCTGTCTTCAATAAAGTATTATGTCTTAGTTATGTTTCTCTCTCTAGTTTATTGTTTTTTGGCCTTAAAGAACTCAGGGGGTGACATAAGCCTGAGATAGTATTCTGATTTTCTTTCTTACCTTTCTTAACTAAAATAGTGCTTGTGTAATTTTTTACTGTGTGTTCTGCTGCAAAGATTCAATTGCCATAAATGCAGTGAAGATTGCATTTACATTTTCTCCAGAAGATCTTTTCCCTGTGTATTAACTTCAGTTGAATCTCAACCAACAGGGGTTCCTGTGCGTGCGATAAATAGACCTGGCTCTCAATTGTTGGGTGCTAATGGTCGAGATGACGGCCCTATAGTGAGTATTAATAGCATGCTCTTTTATTTATGCTTCTTGGGGAGTGAATATGTGTGTGTTTTGGTATTTTGAAATGGAAAAAGTAGCAAATTATAGTATGTCTCATATGGACTCTAAATCAATGTGTGATTCAAGTTTGGAAAATTGATCAAATTAGTCCAGAAAAGCAAAAGGAACTAAATTTTGGGATAGAGCATATATTCTTGTTTGTTTTTAGGAACAGTTACAGTACAATTGTGATTCATTTCAGAGGCATTTCTCTTAATATATGCCTTACCATTTTATCAGATCACACCATGCACCAGAGATGGAATCAACAAAATCACATTAACAGGATGCGATGCTCGTGTCTTTTGCTTGGGGGTTAGACTTGTGAAGCGGCGTACTGTTCAACAGGTAGTCAAGTTTGACCAGCATTATGCAATGTAAATTATCTCTTGCAAAGTAACTTTTTAACCTGCTCTTATTCAGTATTCAGTTGAAGTTTGAATTGGAAATTTTCAATTTGTTGAAAAGACAAATATTTTTTCACTAAAAGCACACTAGTCCGATGTCAAAGGTATTTACAGTTTTTTTTGGGGTATTGCACATTAACGGCATATGGGTGGTTTGCATGTAGATTGCACATCTTATTATGTATCAATACTAATCCAGGTTGGTGCCGAGTCAATACACTGCATTCATAATGCACCATACACCGTATTACACAATTGCACACCCTTTCCGTTACTCCATGTCCCAATCTATGTGATATTTTTTCATTTTTAGTCTGTCCAAAGGTATAATTCTTTCCTCATTTAGAAACAATTTACTTTTAAACTTTCCATTTTATTTTAATGAGATGTTTTATAGCAACATCTACTACTAATATATAAGAGAGGATAAACAGTTGATGGTCAACATGCCTGCTTGGGCGTTTTGGTAATTCCAGTTAAAATGGAGCAATATGATTGCTTAAAAAGGAACTTTACTGTAGCTTCAGCATAATCTTTTGAGTGTTTTGGCTAAATTGCCCCTGGGCTTATGTCATCAACCATCACCACACGCTTCTACACTCTAATCCCTCACTTGGGCCCCACGTCCCACCCTACCCAACTTTCTCCCTAATAGTTTAGTGATGCACTTGGAGGTCCCATTTATCTTTCCCATTTCTTTGTTTGATTTATATTGTTTCAGTGTTGATTGATTAGAGTAACTAATATGTGATATTTAGTACTATTAGTTACTCAAAAAAATAATGCTTTATAGATTTTAATATCTAAATGTGAATTTTTTACTTTAATTATCTCAAAAGTCTAATGTAACTTGTGAAATTATAGCTATTTTTGCTGATAATTTATTTTTGTTTGAAAAAGTCTTTCTCATTAAAAGAATCCCTATTAAACTTATTGGCATCAATTCTATTGAGTTATCTCTTACATTGCACATATATTGTTTGTCAACATCATAATTTTTAGTTTATTCTTGAAATCTTACATGATCAAGCAATTAAAAAAATGAACATTATTTATTAGTCTATCTAGTTGACATATAGAAAGAGCATTTTAAATTTTTAATAAAGCGTAATATTTATTAATAATGATGTCATAAGGAAAAATAAAAAAGAAAAATATACAATAAATTGCAAATTACTACAATATACATATGCAGTAAGAAAAATGAAAGCAGAAAAGTATGCTATATCATTACCATTAATTCTTTATCGCCTTTGATAATTGCAAAGTATAGTTACCTCATTTAATTATGCATAATTTCATGTGGACCAAGTAATTAAATGTACAGACAAATATGTCAAATTGTGTACTTACATTAAACTACACTCAAATTCAACTACATAAAAAGTTTCCAAACAAGCTCTGAGAGTTTAAATATTTGAGCTTCAAATTATCTATATATATTATATTTTTTGAGTTAAATATGATTTATGATTAAATTTAATAGTTTTACAATTTAGCTCTGGTTATATTTTAATACAATTGGCTGTGCTGGAGGTATATGGGAAAACAGAGTTGGGGGGAAGAGGATGGTAGAGGCGAGAAACAACTTGGGGAGTGTAAAAACAAAAAGGATGAGAAATCAAAAAAGTTGTAGTGTTCTACTTACCGCGATAAAAATTGGGAAGGTGGTGAGAGGGAGGGACTGGATCAGAGAGAGAGTTTGTAAAAGTGTGTGCTTTGCAGCACCTATGATGGCAGGATAGGAAGGGGAGAGAAACAGAGGGAGCACCTATGATTTTCTGGGTTTTATAGACAATTGAGTACCTTCATAGAGAATTATTTGTGAAGATTTACTATAGTATACATCTTGTATGCATGGAATTTTTATTACTTTATTGAAAATAACGAATAATAGATTTGTAACCTGGAAGATGAAAGTAGCGGAAATGAGGAATGGTGAGATGGATGTGTGGGCAGACTAGGAGAGATACGATTAGGAATGAAGATATTCCAGACAAGGTGAGAGTGACCTATGTGGTGGACAAGATGCGGGAAGCGAGACTTAGATGGTTCGGGCATGTGAAGAGGAGATGCACAGATGCCCTAGTGAGGAGGTGTGAGAGGTTTACTGTGGTGGGTCCTAGGAGAGGTAGAGTTAGGGTGAAGAAGTATTGAGGAGAAGTGATCAAGCAAGACATGACACATCTTCGGCTTACGAGGATAAGGATAGTAGGTTAGTAAGGATAAGGATAGTAGGTTAGTAAGTAGTCGAACGTATTTCCTTTTCAAACCTGTATTTCTTTTCCATGCATGTAGTACTAGTGTTCTTGTATTTCCTATTCTCAGGTTTCTATTACTATCGATTGTTTCTTTTGTTTCGGTTATATTATTTTTCTGGTTGTTACTGGTTCTCTTTTTTATATTTCTTTGTCATAACTGTTATGATTATGCTTTCCTTGAGTCGAGAGTCGGAAATAACCTCTCTGCCTTCACACGGTAGGGGCAAGGTCTGCGTACACTCTACCCTCCCAGTGGGATTATATTGGGTATGTTGATGCTGCTGTTGTGTATTTGTAACTTGACCTCTGGCCTAGATCAACTCAAGTTAAATGAAGTCTCTGTCGTTATGCTCAAAAAATCAAATATGAAACTTCATACACCTTAAAGTTCATATAGTTCAACTGAATTTTATGAAAGCCTTTCATTTGCTTTTCTTCATGTGGATTTTCCCAAAATGTGCTGTATGCATGGAATTTTTATCACTTTATTGAAAATAAAGAACAGTAGATTTGTACCTTGGCCTCTGGCCTAGATCAACCCAAGTTAAATGAAGTCTATATCGTACTGCTTAAAAAATCATTATGAAACTTCATACACCTTAAAGTTCGTAAAATTCAACTGAGTTTTATTAAAGCCTTTCATTTGTTTTTGTAAACCTGGAAGTTAGATTTTCCCAAAGTGTATCCTAATTTTGGCCTGATTCTTCTTCTGGAACCCCCTTGAAAGATATTGTCTCTCGTGTAAACAAGGTGCTCTGCCAACTGAGCTATAGCATTTAGTGCTTGTGAGTAATGTTTTACGAGGTGTCAAAGTCTTAAATTGAAACAAAAGTTGATCCAAAAGCAAACCAAGTATCTTACAGACAATTAAGCAATCAACAGTTTTCATGATATCAAGATTATACTATGGCTATAGCTTTTCAGTTCTGGCCTTAATATATTCCAGATATTGTTATAAAAAGAATAGATCCTGATAGCTTTGTATTTACATGAACACAGACATGTTAATATACAAGGGATCTTCTGTATAGACTGTTTTATGGTTTCTGATATAATTTATTTTATTGTTAGGTTCTTAGTTTGATCCCAAAGGAGTCAGATGGTGAGCAGTTTGAAGATGCTCTTACTCGCGTTCGTCGTTGTGTTAGTGGTGGGACGGCCACTGAAAATGCCGATAGTGATAGTGATCTGGAAGTGGTTGCTGATTGTATTCCTGTCAATCTTCGCTGCCCTGTAAGTGCATATCAAACTTATAATCCTGTTGCTTGCAGTATCTATTATTTGGTGTTGTTAAGTTAATCACTGTGTTATCTCTACATCCATGCCCCTTCAAAGTTAGATAATCAAGCTGCAAGCTTGTGCAATTGCTCACAATGTGGCCTTAGTCGACCCCTAGAGCTCTATTTTTGATTCAAGAGCCACCACTAGCCACAATTAGCTAGCATTTGGGCATAGATTTGATTGAAACTTGAAAAGAGTTTTTGAAGTTGTGTTTGAACATGCATTTTATTTGAAGAAAAGTTGAAGTTTTGTGAGTGGAAGAAAAAATTTCACCCAAAAACTGCCCTAAACCAGTTTTTGTGAACTTGTAAATTTTAGAATTTTTGTTCCCAAAACATGATCATATTTCATAAACAAACATTGTTCTCAATTTTTTTTTTTGAATAAATGAAGCCAAAATTTATGGCCAAACGGGAGCTTAGTCTTGGACGTTATTGAAGTGTTTATTTTATTGTTTGAACAAGAAACCATAGGATTGACATTTAGGTATCACCTGATCAAGAAAACATGGTGGTGCACAGGCTCCCGAGAGGTCTTCCTACTGTACTGGTGTCCACCTTTTATCCTGCTATTATTATGTGAATTAATTTCTCTGGAGGAGGATAGCTTGTCAATATTTTCAATGTTTTTCTTCTATTTGGATTCTATCCTCTGTATGGCCTTGTTGCAATATTTTATTGCTGTGTAGTGCAGCACAAGTCATAAGTGCTCATTTTTTTATGTATGTGCATTACAGATGAGCGGTTCAAGGATGAAAGTTGCTGGAAGATTCAAACCTTGTATACACATGGGCTGCTTTGATCTTGAAGTCTTTGTTGAAATGAATAAAAGGTCAAGGAAGGCAAGGAACTATGACCCAGAACTAGATGTTTCCGTCAGCATAATATCTAAGTTTCCATCATATTATCCACCGAATATTGTTTGTTTACAAATCTTGTTCATGTGATGCAGTGGCAATGCCCCATCTGTCTCAAGAACTACGCTTTGGAGCATGTCATCATAGATCCATATTTCAATCGAATCACTTCTCAGGTATTGCTAGTTTTTGTTTATGATAATAATTATGTCTTAACCTTCTTTAGCTGATTTTTCACTCGGTTTTGCGGTACAGCTGCGAAGTTGTGGAGAAGATGTTGCAGAAATTGAAGTGAAACCTGATGGTTCTTGGCGTGCAAAGATAGAAGGTGATCGACGGAGTCTTGGGGATCTTGGGCGCTGGCACTTACCTGATGGGAGCCTGAGTGAATCTCTAGATATAGAGTCGAAACCTAAGCCCGAAATTCTTAAGCAGATTAAACAGGAAGGAGGCTCTGATGGCAATGGTCTTAAAGTTGGATTGAGGAAGAACAGAAATGGTTTGTGGGAAATCAGCAAACCGGAAGACCAGACATTTTCATCCGGAAGTAGATTGAGAGGCAATTTTGGTCAGGATATCATTCCTATGAGCAGCGGTGCCACCGGTAGTGGCAAAGAAGGTGAAGATGCCAGCGTTAATCAAGATGGCAATGGGAACCTTGACTTTTCGAACAATGCGTTTGATCTTGAGGCCATTTCTCTTATTGACCCAACGTATGGTTTTGGCAACGAAAATCCGTCGGTACCAGCAGGAGATGCTGAAGTTATAGTACTAAGTGATTCTGAAGAAGAAAATGAGCCAATTATCTCATCTGGGCCTATCTTTAATAACAACCATAGTGATGCACCTGTAGTTCCTTTTCCAGGTCAGTCACAAGGAATTCCGGATTCTTTTCATGACTCTACGCTGGTTAACGGTGGGAATTCATGCCTGGGGCTGTTCAATTCTAATGATGATGAATTTGGGATGAACATGTGGTCTTTGCCTTCTGGAACCCAAGGGGGCCCTGGTTTTCAGTTATTTAGTTCTGATGCTGATGTTTCAGGATCTTTAGTAGATGTGCAGCATGGTTCTATTAACTGTCCCAGTTCTTTCGCGGGCTACGGGTTGGCTGCAGATACCGCCATCGGATCTACTTCTCTTCTTCCTGAAACATATGCAAATCGCCCCAATGCTAATATAAATGACAGTTTAGTTGATAATCCCCTAGCATTTAGCGGTAATGATCCCTCACTTCAGATATTTCTTCCTACTAGACCATCTGATACGTCAGTTGAGGCTACGAGGGATCAGCCTGATATTTCAAATGGCGTTGGTACTGAGGATTGGATATCACTTCGACTTGGTGGCGATGGAGGTGTCCATGGTGATTCTGTTGCAAATGGGTTAAGCTCTGGGCAGCAAGTACAAACAAAAGACACTGCCTTGGACTCATTGGCTGACACTGGTATCTTCTTGTTCTCCTGTTTCTTTTTTCTTTTTTTGTGTGTGTGTGTGGTGGGGGTGGGGGGGGGGTAGGGGGTCTATTACTCTATATGTCA